GCCGAGATTTAATACCGAGAGAGATCTCTAAAAGGAGAGAAAGAGAAGGGGGGAGGGGGGAGAGAGCGAGGGAGGGAGTGGGATTGTCTCGGAGACAGAATTTATAGAAGAAAAGGAAGGGCTCTTGCAACTTGACGATGAACAATTTTTTTTTTTTTTTGCTTTGGGATTCCCTTTTGGAGGAGATCCTCTCTCCTTCGAAAGAAGTCGAATATCTTTAAAAAGGAAAAATCTTGAAGACATTTTTCCGTGTTTGTGGAATTCTTGTGAAAAAACTTCACACTCCGAAAACCAAAAATGGGATTAACTGTGAACGTAGTTGTTGTAATTCTCATGTTTTCACCTTCCAAAACCTCGGTTTACATTGTAAAAAAATCTTAAATATAAATTATTTATATCGAGATTTCCAAAATTGGATGGTTAAACCGTTAAAAAATGAATTTCTTTTCCAATTCAAATTCAAATTCTGACTTGAAAAAGGATATTCACATGGATTTTTTCGATTTTTTTGAAAGATATAGTTGGAATAAAGATCCGATAAGTTTCTATATTATAAAAAAAATAATTCATTTTATATAAAATATATTGTAGTGACTCATTGTATATATATTTTTCTTTCGTTCTAAATGGGTACATTAGAACTTTTATGTTATTGTCTGATGTGCAGGAGAAAATAGTAATTATGAGTAAGAAGACACTAAAGCTGAATTAGTATTTTTAATAATTTATTATATTTTCTATTTTTATTCGGCAAATGTGCAAAGACTTGCCCATTTTCCAATACCATGTTTTTCACCAACCGGATGCTGGGCGGCTATTTTATAGATATAAAAAAAAAGTTAAAAGAATTTGAAATTTTAAAACTAAAATTACAAAAAGTTCTACTGGTAGGTATGGTTAACAGGAGATGCGTTTAACGAATCCCAACAAATAAAAATCATGTGACAAATAGAAAATTTATATTATTCGTATAAACAAAACACTATATGATTTTTTGTTTTTGTTTTTATATCTATTTTATAGAATATTATTCATGATGATGGTCCCTTACACTTTCACTTATTTCGCTTTCAACTTTTAATTATATTATTTGGTACGTACAATTATTATTATTTCTCACCTTTGACGAGGATGGCCTTGCAGGGTGTTTTGGGCATTTACGAGTGAAACAAGTTTTTACGTGGTTTATTAGGATGAATATTTGTGGTTTTAATATAGTGCTTTGATTGACTGATTTAAATATTTATTTTTGTTTTGTAAAGATTGAATATTTACTCATCTTTCATATCGATTTCGGAATTAATTTGATTTCGAATATAATTAATTGATTCAATCTAAATCAATTTTAGACGCTCTAGTCTGATCTAAATGGGCCATCATCATTTTGACCACCAAACTCCTAAATTGGCATGACAAACATTTGGTCCATTCGCTAATTATTGGACCGACCTCGATGTGATTATTTAAATGAAAAAATTCGTTTCCACATACGTTTCACTAGGGGTGGACACCGGTCCGGTACCCCTTTTTTAGGAAACCCGATCTCGGTCTCATCATCACAGGTTTTACGAAAAAATTATCTCATTCTTGGTTTCATGAGATCCGGATACCCCTAATCCGGGTTCAATGAGATTCTCAGTCTCGTACTCAGGAGTATCCGAATCTCATAAATAAATAATTCAAATATTCTATAATTTATAAAATTCAATAAAAATAACTTATACAACATTCAAAACTCGATTTTATACGTTAGAGAATATAGAAAATAATTAAATAAAATAAAAATATTTTAATAAATAATAAAATACCTTAGATAAATGTTATAAATATAAAGATATTTTTAATTTTTAATTAATATACCGGGTACCCGTTATGAGTTAATCGAAACCCGGACCCGGACCCGGGGGTCAAAAACTCGACCTCGTTAAACCCGGTCTCATCATCGTTAAAATCCGGGGTACCCTTTCTCCGGGTACTTGTTAAGCCAGGTACCCCAAACTCCCGGATTACGGGTTGAAACGCCCACCCCTACGTTTCGCCAACATCAGTTAATAATCTCGAGGCTCTCAATTATCAGCTTCTTGCTTTTGATCTTCTCGTCTCTAAGAACAAGATGCGTGCGTGTCTTTCCTCAGATTCAGAACCCGAAAAACTGGAAGAAGACGAAGAAGTGGAAACGAAGGGTTCAGGATCAAACAAGGAATATGTGTGGAAGAAGACAAAGAAGTTATGATATATGATATATATGATACATGATGTGCATGCATCTATGTATGTGTATATATGTGTGTATATGTCAATGCTCACCAGTTTCCTCTTCTTCTTCTTCTTCTTCTTCTCGATGTACTCAAGAATCTCCTTCAGAGCTTCGCCCAGAGCCTACGATCTCAGCACAGAAACAAAACGATACGTGACTTAATTGATCACTAGTGGGCATTATATGTATATATACACACATGCATCGTTCTGTATTGTGCTTAATCACCTTCTTAGTTTCAGACAAATCTTGCTCAAGCGCTTGAACACGGGTTAACGCAGCCTGGAGATTCTCCTCTTTCTCAGCTGAAACATCCGCTCGCTTCATGTCGAGAACCTTGCACTTGTCTTCCAACTCCGCCACGCGTTTCGCCATCAATATGTACTCGGAGCTCGACACCGGTTCCGGCTCTGGGAACTTAGCCAACTGGTTCTGCTTATTTTTTGTCGATTTTTCGTCGTGAACAGATGTTCCGTACAACACAGCCTCCGTGAGCTTGTGTGGCATGTGCTTGGATAGACGAACCATGGCCACAATGCCCATAAAAAATGCAACTACCCCTCCCGCAAGTAAACCCTCTCCTTTCTTCTGTGCCCCTCTCCTTACGTAACTGCCTGTGCACATGAAAAGGGGTGACAAGAACGAGGCAAGATTATTGCAGAACCGAACAAGAAACAATAATGTCTCAGAATCATAATATATATACCTTCGGAGACGGGAAAGTTGTCATCTTTCGGCTGTTTTTCGGGCCAAGCCATGTCCATTGGCCTGTCAACCGCTATTACGTGCTTCTCGCATTCATCGTTCACTGTTCTGTTCTTGTTTCCCTCTGGAATCTGTAACTTCTTCGATAATCTCAAGACCTTATTCGATAATTCAAGGGGAAAAGAAACTGTCGAGCACATGGCATCACTGTTTGCATCAGTCTGCTTCCAATTGAACATATGTAAGATGATCCTCGTAAAAGATTCGATTAAAATAGTTACACAGAGATATTTCGTTATCGAAGAGACTTGTCAAAACATTACCTTAAGATCCTCAGGAAGATTCCATGGACCTTTGTCTGAACGCATACAACCTCCTTTGTCTGCACAGCTGCAAGTGCCTCCGATGAAGGATGGCAGTTCACTGACACAAAACAAAAACATCAAGACTTCGTACAGTACTTCGAGTTTGCAAACTGAAGAATATGATTAAGTAGATTTCAATCTTACGTGGAATCGATGGCTTCAAGCAACTTGCTCTTGTAGTTGTTCCCAAGAACATGAATTTTTGTTGTGGTCTTCGGGTCTAGGAAGGATTTTACTGCACTCCACACGAGTCTGAACCCCGAACCCGCATTGATTATGTACATCCTGTTCAGTGTCTGCGAAAAAACCCTAATAAGTTTTCGCCATGTCTAGTTAATAATGATCCAAAACATATTTACTAGTAGTTTTACCTCGGGGTAGTTGTCGTTATCGATCTTGAGAATGCGTTGAAGAAGCTCTCTTGCAGATTTACTGAAGTTCTTGAGACCCTAATCGCGCAGAAAAAGCGTAAAGAGTTAACAATTCATAACATCCTTTTTTGGTATTTGATGCGGTGAATATACGTTAATTACCACGCCTTGAACGTCCAAAATCGCCGTGCTCTGATCAATGTGCTCATTGGCAGCGACTGAGCAAGCCGGGAACTTGATCTTGAATGTCCTCTCGAACTCTTTCACGTGGTATTTCACGTATCGGTCCATTGTCGTGACTTGCAAGAGCTTGTTAACGTCGATTTGGCCTAATCTCTCTATGTAAACCGGCCTTCCTTCCTTGTCGACGCCGTGATAGCCTTGTGGATAGTACTTGAGAACTTCGTCGATTTCTTTGAACTCGAAATCCTTCATTCACAACGAAAGCTCGATCGTCAAAAAGAATATTCACGGAAGGAGAGATTCCTCCGAGATTCTGTGAAGATTCACCTCTATGATTGAGTCGGCCCCGAAATCCTTCCTCCATTGAAGCATGTCAGCCCACATTTGCTTTGCCTTCCCAATCTCAAACTTTCTTGCCCTCAAGAATCTGTATATCATATAAATCGAAAACTTTGAGCCCGACGAACAAAGATGATAACTTTGACATCAAAATGCGTAAATTTCTGAAAATCTAGGCCCTCGAATCCGTGGACTTCTGTTCCTCAAAGAGTATATGAGATTCAATATATATCTTTCAAATGTAGAAGAAAATAACCTTAGCATCATGTGGAGATCGTCGTGTTTCGAGGGCAAGATCCCGTCCAAGACGAGGGCTTGGCGGAAAGAATCAAGAGACTGAAGTTCTTCTGCATCAATGTCGTCTTCGATTAGGGCTGTGATCACTCTGCTGTTGCTCCTCCTCGATTTCTTCTTGAAAGAGTTCTTGAACCTGTTGGAAGCGTTTATTGCCTTCTTCTTGAAGGAACAAATCCTCATTGTTCTCCTATCGTCCTCCTCCGGTATCTCTACATATAACATATATATATATATGGCTTACATTCTCTTGCAAGCATTCATAGTTAAAGCATATCTCATCTCTTTGATAAGCAAATGTAGAAGAAAATAACCTTAGCATCATGTGGAGATCGTCGTGTTTCGAGGGCAAGATCCCGTCCAAGACGAGGGCTTGGCGGAAAGAATCAAGAGACTGAAGTTCTTCTGCATCAATGTCGTCTTCGATTAGGGCTGTGATCACTCTGCTGTTGCTCCTCCTCGATTTCTTCTTGAAAGAGTTCTTGAACCTGTTGGAAGCGTTTATTGCCTTCTTCTTGAAGGAACAAATCCTCATTGTTCTCCTATCGTCCTCCTCCGGTATCTCTACATATAACATATATATATATATGGCTTACATTCTCTTGCAAGCATTCATAGTTAAAGCATATCTCATCTCTTTGATAAGCACCAATGTATGTATGTATGTATGTATGTATGTATGTATGTATGTATGTATGTATGTATGTATGTACGTACGTACGTACCGGGTTTTGTTTGTTGATCAAGAGGATCTGATTGGGTGTCTTCCATGGTGGTTGGATGGATGAAAGAACTCTTCGCCACTGCCAACGCCTACAAAGACTAATGTAATGCAAAGATTTCAGCACGAAACATATATGTTTTCATTGTATAACACAGAGCAGATGATCATTGAAAGTTTGAAATCATGAAGAAAGGATCAAGAGAAACAAGAAAATGGGATTTCCATGGAAGAATTAAGATGGAAACTCCTCTGTTTGGATGGTGAGAAAAAACCAGAGGGAAAATGCGAGAAAATTTTACCCTTAACTGTGGAGGAGAGGGCTCATTTGAAACTAAAGCATTGCAGAAAAGTCTCTGTTTGATTCCAACAAGCTATTGACTAAATAAAATGTGTGTGTCTTTTTTGAACATTCATTATAGACATGCATATACATATATACATGTATATATATACGCGTATGCCTTTTTGGCAAAGTGCTGAGCACTACTTTTCACATATAGATCATAAAAAAGCTGAGGAGATTTCATACTAATATCTTCAGATTATATACTGAATCACAACATAACTCGCCACATGATTTTATGAAACAAGAGGCACATAATCTTAATTAGCTCGCAATATTGTCTAATTAGTAACAATAAAAATAACAAATCCAAAAGGATTGTGTTGGCATAAATGAAGGCTGGATATGGCATGTCAACATCTCTCTTGGAGATACAAATTACAAAGTTTACAAAAAAAAAATATATAACTCAAACAACCAGCTATATATAGAGGCCAAGATTTCATTTGTTAATGGCATTAATTTTTTTTTTTATCTGATTAGTTTCGGTGTTAAGGATATCGATCAATATATCCGATTTGTCGGAAGAATAATTGATATATTTTACTATTACACCATCTTGCCTTTGTCACGTAAGAAAAGAGAAAATTGAAAAAAAAACTATATATCGAATTAATTTTATCTATAAAATTAAATAATAAATAAATGAAAAGATAAAAATAAATTAATTAAATAATTGCGGGTTCTCAAATCATTTGCGGGTTTGGATAGGGTCGGGATGTAAATCAATAATAACATAAGATTAAAAAAAATAAGAGTAGCTGAAATTAATTTTATTTTGAATAATTTTTATGTGTTTTTTTTAACGATAAAAACGTGAAATTACGATGTTTTATTGTTGTTTGGAGACGATAATTGTATGAATGATTCTTATTTTCTTATTTTGGTATTTGTTCATCTTAAAATCGCACACACACTGCAATTAAAGTACTAATATCATTGGGTATATTCGACGGATAAAAAGATTAAAGTATTAGTATTGGATAATGTAATTAATTATCCGCCAATTTGTCTTTTCTATTGCTTTATATATATATATATATACATGAAAAAGAAAGCAGCGATTTGACCGTAGAGCCGCGTCCCTTTGAGACTTTGGGTTTCTTGCGAGTATTTGTTGCGAATTGGCGATTGCCACTTTCTCCCGCTCATCCTCATCTCTCTTCCCTTTTCAATCACAAAAAAGGGAAAAAAAATAAAAGAAAGGCATCTGGGTGTAGGAAAAAAGGGTTTTTTTAAGCTAAGCGAAGTTTGAAACCTACCCACTCGGTTTTTCGTTCTGATTTCGCTTGAAATCCCGTGTTTTCGGACTGGGATTTTGTTTTCTTTTCTGGGTTTTTGCATAAACTGTCGAAGATTCTTCCTTTCGCCTTCAAATCGGTGAGTGCTGTTCATGTCTTCGTCGCATTTTGTTTGATTTTCGTCTACTGCCGTGCGTTTTCGCTCTCTTGTGCCCTTGGGATTGTTTTGTGGCTAGATTGATGCATCGGGAGTTGAATGCTTGCTGTAATTTTTTATTATCTCACCTTTATTTAGTCCTCATGAGAATCTGTGGTTATCAGATACTCTCAGTTCGATTCTTAGAGAGAAAATCTTGATTTTGCTTTGACAATTTGTTGTGTTTTCCCTCAGGAATTGCTGAGCTCGTGTTTGGGTTTAGAGTAGTTTTCGTGAGAGTTAGAAACTTGTAGTCACGTAGATGGTCCGTTTGATCCGCTTACTAGAGATTCGAGTTGTTTTTCTGTCTGCTTTGATGTGATTGTCTGAATTCTGTTACAATTCTCGTTAACATTTGTGTTTTCTTATGTATATCTCAGGCTCTGCTGCCTTTGTCCCAAAGGTGGCTCAGTCATTTCCGTCCAAAGCCGTTCTCTGCAAACTTCTTTAGGGTTTTGGTTTCAACCATGGCGACTGGTCTCAATGGCAATGTTACAGTGGCATCAGATCCGCAGAGAACTTACCAAGTTGTGGTAGCTGCAACAAGGGAAATGGGTATTGGTAAAGATGGGAAACTGCCCTGGAGTTTGCCTACTGATCTCAGATACTTTAAGGACATAACTCTGACAACGTCGGATTCCGCAAAGAAGAATGCCGTCGTGATGGGTAGGAAAACGTGGGAATCGATCCCCATGAAATATCGACCACTCTCTGGCCGCCTTAACGTTGTTCTCACTCGTTCAGGCGGTTTTGATATAGCCAACACCGAGAATGTTTTAACCTGCAGTAGCATAGATTCTGCTCTGGATTTATTAGCTGCACCTCCGTATTGTCTGTCCATCGAGAGGGTGTTTGTTATAGGAGGCGGTGATATATTGAGGTGAGTGTTATTTTCTCAAGTCTTTTTGCTGGGATTAGCTCTTTTCTCGATTGCATCATTGTCACTGATCATTGTTGTAATGTAGGGAAGCACTGAATAGGCCTAGCTGTGACGCCATCCACTTAACTGAGATTGATGCTAGTATTGACTGTGATACGTTTATACCCCCGATCGACTCTTCTGTATATCAGCCTTGGTACTCATCGTATCCGATAACTGAAAATGGAATTCGATTTTGCTTCACGACTTATGTTCGTGTAAGGAGTTCTTCAGTTGAATCATATGATCAAAGTGATGGATCAGAGGCCCCCAAATTTGATGTGAAAAGGTTCTCTTTCCTTCCCAAGATGGTTTTTGACCGGCATGAGGAATTCCTGTACTTGAATCTTGTTCAAGACATCATATCGACTGGAAACCTGAAAGACGATAGGACGGGGACCGGCACACTATCAAAATTTGGCTGCCAGGTGATGTTAAACCTTTTCTTTTTTCGTGTTCGGAGTTTTTTGTTCAGTTTGGGTTTTCTCTGCTTGATTATGAAGAATGCTAATCTCCCTTTTCCTCTGTAACCACAGATGAGATTCAATCTACGCAGGAACTTTCCACTTCTGACTACTAAGGTATGGTCGCTTTTCTTGTCAGGTGGTTCTGTGCTTCATCCCAATTCAATGGAAGTTACATTTCCGTGTTATATGCATATATTGATCATGTCCGGGCTTATATTATTTCCCTGTATCTTCTTTTGTAGAGAGTGTTCTGGAGAGGTGTTGTCGAGGAACTTCTATGGTTCATAAGTGGCTCAACAAATGCCAAGGTAATAAAAAGATTCTTCACCATCCTTCAAGGTACAAGGCCATTACAAGTTTTCTGAGAAGCTAATATCAATGGCAGGTGCTACAAGAAAAGGGCATCCATATATGGGATGGGAATGCGTCACGAGACTATCTTGACAGGCAAGCTTTGAATTGACATTACATTTTTCAAGGAATTGGAAGTTTCATTTCGTCTTCTTTTGTAGCTGATACTCGCAAATCTTTATTCAGTACTGGCCTTACCGAGAGAGAGGAAGGTGACCTTGGACCCATATATGGATTTCAATGGAGACACTTTGGTGCTAGGTCGGTAGATCTTTCTATATCTCCGTGTTTTCAATTCACTATGGATGCTTGGATGAAAGGGTTCGCTATGAATTTCTTTATTTTTTTTTTCTCAGGTACACCAATATGCATGCTGATTATACAGGGCAAGGGTTTGATCAGCTGTTAGACGTTATCGATAAGATCAAGAATAAGCCTAATGATCGAAGGATTATATTATCTGCTTGGAATCCTTCTGACCTCAAGTTGATGGCACTTCCTCCATGCCACATGTTTGCGCAGGTTAAGTACATATATAACATTTTTCGCATTCTAAATTCTTGTGCAGTGAGTTTGAGTTTGTTTCTATTTACGGGTTTACCCTTTTTTCCAATCCTCGCAGTTCTATGTCGCAAATGGGGAACTGTCATGTCAAATGTATCAGCGTTCAGCTGACATGGGCCTCGGTGTACCATTCAACATTGCTTCATACTCTCTCCTTACGTGCATTATCGCTCATGCGTGTGGTATGTGGCGCTCTTTACAATCAGATAACAGGTTTCTTGATTCAATTCCGCTTAAAAGATAGAATTTTCATGATGTTTCTGCAGAGCTTGTTCCCGGTGATTTCATCCATGTTATCGGGGATTCTCATGTTTACCAAACTCATGTCAGGCCTCTGCAAGAACAGCTTCAGAACCCGCCAAAGCCCTTTCCTGTCAGTATCTGATCATGTTTACTCGGTGATCATCATGAACAGAACTTAGTTTTCTGAGAAAGATTAGCTCGATATTTAACTCCTTTTTTGTGTGTGTGTGTGTGTTTCGTTCACAGATTTTGAAGATAAACCCCGAGAAAAAGGACATAGATTCTTTCGTACCGGCTGACTTCGAGCTCATAGGCTATGATCCTCACAAGAAGATAGAAATGAAAATGGCGGTTTAGTCTTCCTCCATTACCTTGTAACAAGAGAAACTTGTAAGATTCTTGGAAATGGCCATCACCCATATTGGAGGTAACTTCCATGACCCAAAGATCATTCAAATCTCAAGCCTTCTTTTTGTGATTTGGGATTTGGGAAGATGGATTCACTGATTTAGTCGAATGAAATTGAAGTCAAACGAGATTTGTGGTAGTAATGGCTCTCTGGTGAATTGAAGATACTATCATTAGCATACAACCGGGGTTTGAATCCTCTAGTTCCACAGGAGCTTTTTGCTTTATTTTGGTGGCTCTAGGGTGATTTAGGGTTTTTTTTTTTTAAATTTTTATTGTTGGATTTTTTTTTTCTCATTGCATTTTCATTTTCTAGAACAAGGAGTGATTGTTATCCTTGTAATGATTTTCTTCAGTTTATGAGGATTTTTTAAAAAATATGGTGTGCAGGCTTGCTCGAATTGAGAATTCGCAGGTAAATGTTTTTTTTTAATTGGCTTGTTTATGGATATTAACTGAAGATTCTAGTTGATTTTGGTAAATAACGGATGGGTGAAATAAAGATTCTCGCTGATGTCTCTGTCTAGAGAGGGGAAAAGATGCTTTATGCTCTTTTACCTAAATGGACATGACGTTCTGCTGGGATTAGATTCCGTTTTCTCATTTTGTATGTGATTTTGGTGGTAGTAAATATCTTATAAAAAAATCCTCTACTTCATTACATTATATTTTATAATGATGTATATATATAGATGATTTGCATATTTGTGATGAGGGAGAGAATGTTCAAATTCAGAATATCGTTATACGATTTTAATTACAGATTTTTTTTTTTGCAATGATGTAAATAGAGAGACAATTTCAACAAAAAAAAAATAGAGAGAAAAAATGTATTTTAAAAAAGTTGAAGTGGAGATGTTATAAAGTAAATTAGAATAAATTATTATCTAATTATGTAACTACAATTTGTTGAAATTTCATATATATCAAGAGTGAAGCTCCCCTATTTTTATTTACAATTTTCGGTGCCGGCTCATTTTTTTTCCCTAGGTCGTGTTATATTTTATTGCAAAATACAATTTTGATAAAAAAAAAAATTAAACAAAGTTCGAATTTCTATGACAGATAAAAAGGACTTTCACATGTCTTGGTTGAATTGGTTGGAATGTAAGATTCGGATTTTACATGTACACATGCATGTGTGTGTGTGTATATATATATATATATATTATATATATGCGCGCTAACGCACATGTAACTATTATTTATTCCGACAAATATGTTCGACAGTTGTATGACACTCTCCACGTGTTTTCATATTCTGTTATAAGTTCCATTGGCGTATTTGTCATCGAGAGGACATCTACTGCTCTCCGTCACCCTTCCAAATATTTGTTTCCCAGTTGCAGATAGCATCTATATATATATATATATATATATATGAATTCAGTTCATGAATCACGTACTAAACCCATCAATTTTTAAGTATTATAATGTTCCTTATATGTATTTTAATCATTGTTACAGATATTAAATAAATATGACAACAATGTTAACAAAAATAGATTTCAAACATTATATGTTATTATATCTCCACTATCGCAATCGTTTAACGAAGTTTATGCCCTTAATCCTACCCCAAAATTCGGAACTTTGATTATGTATATTCACTGATTTTAAATATGTTTATAAATTTCTTCTTCTTTTTTCTTCTAAAAACTATGAATTAAACGTAGGTTATATTATAATCTAATGGCCAAACAGTGTCTTAGAATTAATAAAAGTAATATTTTATTTTCATACATCCCATCACCTTTTTCCTAAAAATTACGCTTTCTACGTAAGAAATTTCTAGATTACCCTCATCCGAATATTCTAATAGTAAATTTACATGCTAATATAATTATTATAAATAAGGAAAATTTACGGTTAAAATATTCGTGGTGAGAACAAAATCAATGGCGATATATAGTACAAATTCCATTTTCTATGATGCCATAATTCCCTTTTCCCTGATGCCATAATATTCCTTTTTTATTATCCATAAATCTACAAAATAACGATATACAACCAATAAACAATTAAATGCTTTTCATAAATGAAGAAAATAAATAAATAATTATGTGTCCTCCTATGGTTTGTCGACAAATGGCACCAAAATTGCGAAGAATCTATTGATTACACTAACTAATCGCACCTATTAGATTTAAATCCTAGCTAGTTTAACGTTGTGAACCCTTGATGTAATATCTTAATCTCTGATAATATTCGTAAAATCTAATGAGAATTAAATTCTAGTTATGGTTTAGTTATTAATTTAAAATGACAAAAACTACTCGTTTAAATTCATCGCGGCATATTAATTATTAAATTATTTTCTTAAAAACGACAACAAAAATAGTCGTTGAAATAACTGTGCGGACTTTTCAATATACACGGCCTTGAAAAAGTTACAAAGGGTAATTAGTAATGTTTTTTTTTTAAAAAAAGTGAAAAAAAAGTAAAGAAAAGTTTATATTCACTGATGAAGCGACACTAAATTACAAAGTGTTCTTCATCCTTCTGAAACCTCTTCTGCCTCGCAATGAAAGCTTCGATCTTGTCCCTAAACTCTTCATTGCTCATACCGTCTTCTGGGTACGAACACTTCACCAGCTCCTTGTCGGAATCACAGATCCTCAGATACTTGTCCGATTCGTACCTCTTCAGTTTCCCGCCACGTGCCTCCGGTTTCACTGCCTCGAAAGATTTCTCCGACTGAATTCTCCTGCAGATTCGCTCGACCCTTTTCTCTTCGACCAATCTCCTCTCTTCTCCCCTCTTATTGATCTCGTAACGTTCCATTTCGGATCTCTTCTCGCTTTTTTTGATGAGCTCTTGATAAACATCGACCATTGCCGCTGTGTTTGAAGGGTCATGACCACCCGAGTAACGCCCTGATTTCGCGAAGAGAGTGATCACTATCGCGTTCCCGAGAACGAACACGAACCTCGGGCTCACGAGGAAAACGGCGGCTTCCCGGAAAGCGTCGCCGGAGAATTTGACGGCCACCGGAATCCGGAAGTAGAGCTTCGAGACCAATACAAGAAGAAGAAGGAGTTCAATGAGCCGGAACAAGCTCGTGAAGGCCCGCATCGACGTGAAGTTCGTGACTTTTCTCGATTTCTCCAGCTTTATGTGGTGAAACTGAATCGAATCCATCGGGAAATGTGTCGGACGCAAAGGGTTTCTGTTTAATCGAAAGAGACGAGTTTTGGGAACAAGAAGCGAGAAGCAGTGAGTGTTGCTCTCAAGAGAGAAAACAGAGGAACGATGATATCCATATTGGATGATGAGAAGAGACAAAACAGAGCAGTCTGTTTCATGGGGACAGAATAGGAACAAAACAGAGCACTCTGTTTTTTGTTTTGTTGTGAGGGTTGGTTTGCTTAAGTTTAATATTTATAGACCGGAATATTTGTAATATTATTAATTTAAAACATATGAATGATTCCTTGCATTATTATATATCTCGAGGACTTTTATTTGGAAAAATAGGCAAAATGGTGGTATTTATGAACAACATTATTGCAGTTTTATTCTTGAGAATTGTTCTCACTGTTTCCAAAGCGGGTATTGCCATTCCCCCCTGCCCATGTCCAATTAGGCAATTATCACGCACTCCATGTATTTTCTTTTGTGTACATTAATTACATTATAATTTAATTTTTTTTTTATAACGGAGAACTCCTAACTGCTACCATTCAGGCACGCTGACTAGATAAACCTCCGATCCGGGAACAGCCTTTGTATATAGATCATATAAACCCTGAAATTATCTCTCTCCCCACCAGTCAAGAATCGAACATAGAAAACTTATTTTGATTACATGCGGTAGAAATTAATCTGAATCATAGCAGTATTTCTTTTATGTCATGAGAGGAACTTTGGAATATAGATTTAAAAAAAAAATTTATATTCAATCCAAGAATCGTTACAATATGAACGTATTAATTTTTTTTCATTTAAAATATGGATTTCTATACTCGAAGGAATAGAACAATGACAACTTAGTTTTTTTTTATAAACCGGGAGTTTTTCGAACCTTTGGTCCGACTACATCTCTCAGGAGATCGGAAAACCCAGATGAATACTCCTTCCCACGCTTGGGTTTAAACCCAGGGAGAGCATGGTTTGAACCCATAATAACAACTTAGTTGTTTTAACAAGAACGTTGTATGCCCGATTGTAGCTTGCATGCAACTAGAAAAAAATTTAAAAATTAAAAATCAAAAATCGAAAAAATATTAATTTCTTGTATGAATTTATAGGTTATCAAATCCAGATTTTCTTAGTTTAGGGGCAAGACGCTCTTACACTAAATTAACTTATTTTATACTTGTTTTAAAAAAAATTCTAGTTCGAAATAAAGTCGATTGTTATAATTTATTACTGATTTGTTTGATTGTTAATCCGATTGTTATAATTGTCATACACCTAGGAATCTACGTGGAGCTAAATATCTAGATATTTATGTTTCCAAACAATCAAAAATAGAAATTACCCAGATTTTATGTGAAAAGATTTGTAGATAAGTTTTGAAATGGGGGAATATAGCCATCGATGTGTGATGTGATGGGCAATTAGGTGGAAGAATATGTCCATGATGTATATTTACATCACACAATAACATCATAGTAACTTATAATTAAACATTTTAAAAGAAATCGTAATATACAATAAAAGTTTGGAAAAAATGACAATACATATATATATATATATATAAGGGTAAATATCATCCAAACTACACTGAAAATCCCAGGAAAAAAATATAATTAGTTCCATTTTTGAGATATACAATGTCTCTTTACATATTGATCAATAATATTAGCATATTAAACGACGATTCTTAATTTTCGAGAGAAATGGGAAATCCACGTGGCAGATACGTAACACAATGGAAAGTAACTTCCTTCTTCACTAAGACATAAGCGGAGACAGAGACACTCAGAACTTTATATGCCTTTTTTTACATTTCTTTTTCCCATTATTCTCAAATCTCTTTTTTTTTTTTTTTACCCCACCTGACCTTTCAAGATAAAGCAATAAACTTCATCGCTTTTTCTTATTTTTGGATAATATTTATATCTAATTCAAATTAGATATATCTGATTCGTTCAATAATAAGCAGTTTGTATCTGAATTTATTTTAATACAAATCAAACGCATGCGTTCTTAAACTCGCTATCCGCTATCAAATATTAAAAGTGGAATATTTATAAAAAAAAATCCGCTATCAATAATAAGCAGTTAGAGAAAAACAAAATAAAAAGAGACATAAATCGTATTATAGCCTATTGATCCCTAAATAATGCACCTTTTCGTCCACTGTTTAATTTATGGACGATTTGCACACTTGAAGAACCCCAACCAAAAATAAATATTTACTCAGTAATTTTGGGGGAAAAACTTATTAGAAGAATGTGTGTCTCGTCATTATGCTTGTGAATCTCAGCATGCTTTCTGTTAGTACAAACCGCCCTTTATTAGTCTAAAAAGAAGTTTTTTTTGCGCATTTATAATTTAGAAAATACAATTTCAACAAAAAAAAAATTATTTTCTGTTTTTTCTAACAATATTATTAAATAAATACCATTACTAAAAAATTAAAATGATAAAAATATATAAAACCTAAAACGTAACAAAAAACTTTAAATTAATTACGAGGAAAAAATGAAATTAACCAAGGTTTCATACCAAGTTAGTGGATATGTCGAGTCGGAGGTTTATCCGTTATCAAAAAAAAAAGTTAGTGGAAACGGATATCGGTTTGGATTTTGTTTATTTTTTGGATTGAATACGAATAATGATTGGTTGGATAATAATAAATAAATAAAAAGTTTGTTTGAACCGCAGTAAAAAAATAATTTGAATTTGAATTTTATTGGGTTTTCTAGGTTTTCATAATAATCTATAAACACGTCACCAATCGTTTCGGGCCTTTGGGTCGAAATCTTAACGGGCCTCTGATTAAAAAGACAGGGCCTTTACCCTCTAGGGTTTTTCTCAATTCCAGTTTTCTTCCTGCGAGTGCGCCGCTGCTCTCCTCTCCTCTCCTCTCTCTCGCGTCCAGTTCCAATGGTGAGTGCTCTCTCTCTCTCCCAATTCATCTCTATTTCTGTTATCTAATTAGGGTTTTTGTGCGTGATACCAGGCACCGAAGAAGGACAAAGCTCCCCCGCCGTCATCTAAACCCGCTAAATCCGGCGGAGGCAAGCAAAAGAAGAAGGTCGCTTTCTTAAATCCTTACGCTTATGTCTCGTTTGTATATGGATCGGAGTAAAAACATGTGCATGGGTTAATTTGATCTGGGTTTAGGCCTGATTCGCTTTTTATTTCAGTTTCTTACGGAATCTGTGGGTTTTGGTTTCGTCGTTTTGTTTGAACAGAAGTGGAGCAAGGGAAAACAGAAGGAGAAGGTGAACAATATGGTTCTGTTCGATCAGGCAACTTACGACAAGCTTCTGTCTGAAGCTCCCAAGTTCAAATTGATCACTCCTTCTATTCTCTCTGATCGTTTGAGGGTACATTTCTTTTGCTCTTTCTGTTTGAAAGTTTCCATCTTTTATTCAAAATTCTTCGATTTGGATTTTGTTTCTGTTTTTATCAAGTCTTATTCCATATGATCGTCGGGTTAGAAGTGTTTTGGTATTTAGTTTGGATCGGTGTTAGACAATGTCGGGTTACTATTTCCAAACTTGATCATTGGCATTCAAGTTAACAGTGAAGGGTCTACTTGCCTATTCTGGTTTTAGAAATCCAAATTTCATAACTTTGATTCTTATTGTGTTGGCTGTAGTGTTGATAAGTCAGCTATTTGAGATCAGGATCTTGAGGATTCTAATTAGTCCCCTACAGAAATACTTTCCAAAATCAACCATGAACTGCTCGAGTTTATGTCATGTTGGATATCAGAATAACTCGCTGATTTGTGATGGGTTTAGGGTTTAGAGACTTCTGAAATATGAGTATACTTGGGCACTTCTGAAACTTCCTGTTGAATTACCTTTTCGTGCTTTTTTTAGTGTCTATCAAGTTTGATATGCTCAAGAAAATGATTGATCCGGATCTTGATTCCTTTCTATAACCCATTGAGATTCACCAGTTTCCTGACACATTCTCACGTTTTTCAGATCAACGGATCACTCGCTAGGAAAGCGATCAGAGAGTTGATGGCTAGGGGATCGATAAGGATGGTCTCTGCTCACTCGAGCCAGCAGATCTACACCAGGGCAACCCACAACTAGTTTCCTTTTTACATCCCTTGTCATGTGTTTTTTTTTATCTTTTCTTGTTGAATGTGCTTCTGAATTCTTGATTCAAAAGTTTTGGAATTTGGTTCAAACTGCTTTCAACCAAGACACTGTAGAATCCATGAAGGGCTTGATCCTTTTAGACTGTGATCGAAACGGTTATGCTGTTGAACACTTGACGTGGTTTAATCCTAATGCTTGTTACACTGAACCTTTCGTGTGAAAATATTTTGAAAGATATATAACTAATGCATGCTGTACTTAGAAGTTAGAAAATTAACTTGCTGCCTTATGTTCGTTCCTTCAAGAACTTCACTGCCACGTCAAGGAATGCACCAAAAGACATGCTTTAGCGATTGATGAAGTAGACCAGATGTGGACATGGTGTGATTAATCATGGTGGGGGACTGAACCGCGAGAAAGACGGGGCGCTTACCGTCATATCGAAATGTAGGGGTGGTTTTAGATGTTTGAATAAAGTGTATGGTGTTTTCATAAATATCTAATTTTATAGGCCCTTTATATAAAAACAATAAAAGCCTGTTAAAAGAAAACATTCTCAGCAGGCTACAAAAGCTTTAGGGTTTTTGTATCCTGGTTTGAGCTTCGTCATCGTTTCGCGCCGCTCCTCTCACAGAACCAATGGTGGGTGCTCTCTCTCTCGCTCTCGCGCTCGCGCTCTCTCTCTCTCTCTGCGCGTTGATCTAATTAGGGTTTTGTGTGCTTGACTACAGGCACCGAAGAAGGACAAAGCTCCGCCGCCATCATCTAAGCCCGCTAAATCCGGCGGAGGCAAGCAGAAGAAGAAGGTCACTCCCTCAAACCCTAACTCTTGTTTCGCATTTACATAATATATTGGCTGTGAATAGTTTTCAATCGTGTAATGCTGCCTGATTTGATCTGGGTATAGCTGGGATTTGCTTCTCTTGCTGTTTCTTATGGAAATCTGTGGTTTTTGGTTTCGATATTTTCGTTATTTTGTATGAACAGAAGTGGAGCAAGGGAAAGCAAAAGGAGAAGGTGAACAACATGGTTCTGTTTGATCAGGCAACTTACGACAAGCTTTTGTCTGAGGCTCCAAAGTTCAAACTGATCACTCCTTCTATTCTCTCTGACCGTTTGAGGGTACTTATATTCTTCTCGTTCGATGTTAAAGTTTGGATCTTTTTTAGTACATGATAGTTGTTGTTTTGGTTTAAACATTAATCTGTCTGCTCAATGATGTGGGATTAGGATTACATTAGCTGTAATTGGGTTCTTAGGGATAATTTGTGAACAAAAAACTCTACCATTTTGTGCTTATCCGCCACTAATTTAGGTGGGTCTCCATTGGACTTTAGACGACTCACCAATAAAGTTTGGATCTTTTTTGTTACCGAAATTAGGCATGCTTTCATTTGCAATCCCTTGTGTGCAGTGTTTGTGTTTTGGTTTTATCATTGAAAACTCCGCTAGATGATTCTGGATTAGGATCTCGGTAGCTGTAACTGGTTCTGTAGTGATAGTTTGGGGAACAGGGTTTGAATATTTTGTGATTCTTCACCATTTGTTGAGCCGTAAGGTCTATTCAATCATTTTGACTTTACCAACTCGTTATATATATGATCTTCCACTCGTTTCATCCCACAATTTGTCGAGTTTCAGATCAACGGATCGCTTGCGAGGAAAGCGATAAGAGAACTGATGTCTCGAGGATCGATCAGGATGGTGTCTGCTCATTCAAGCCAGCAGATCTACACCAGGGCCACGCACAACTAGTCTCCTTCTCTTTTGTTTTCTTGATCTATTTCTGGTTTGTCTAATGTATCTCTGAGGTCATGACTCGTGTGTTTAGATGATGATGATGGTCATTTTTTTTTCTTTGAATCTGTAGACTTTTCTCCAATGCTTTTCTTTATTTACAAGTCTACATGCCCTTTTCATCCCAACAAAGATTGTTGGTTCTAAACCTTTTATTGGTCTCACCAGTTGGGTACCCGAGCTCTGGCCATACCCGGAGTATCCGAAACTCGAGTACCTGATCCCCATCAGACCAAGACCCGGTATTGTCACTGAAAAACCGGAAACGCGAAAGGGCAAAACTGAAACCGGATACATCAGAAAAGAAAACTTAGTTATCTGGAATCGTTTGAGGACAATCTCCAGTTTTGTTCTTCTCATGTAGAAGAGAACTGTGACTTTAACATCTCGCAAAGTGTATCCCAACATTGCAAGCGACGTACTTATACAAAAAAAGCCAGGATGGCTTCCACCCACCATAAAAACACACACCACAAAGTAGGCTGAGTTAAAAAGGAAAACTGTCAAAATTCTTACAGGCTCCTCCTACTTGATCAAACTAAGAACAGTAGAACCTGTCTTTTAGCTCGTATCTCGTGTCATGATCTCCCTTTCACTGGATTGTTGAGCATGTTCATCTGGGAAAGCTTCCAGATTCAGCTGCAAGATCAGCGTTTAAGCCTTTACCTTGAATCCGAAGTATTCCAGATGACCAAAGATCCGCTCTTTCTCAGACCCGACGGGCTCAACCCGATCAGCGCTTTCCCCATCAATGCCATGGCTGCAATACCCGGAAATTGCTCCTTCTCTATTTCCTTTGAGGCATTCGTATTCGTGTTCGGTTCACATTTAGCTTCTTGCCCAGCTGCTATATGAGATTTCACACCACTGTTCTTACACCATCTCTGAATCCATGGGTGCTGAAGTGTTATCTCCTCCCCACCTACCTTCCTGTTCTTGAATTCAGATGTTGAAGGTTCTTCATTTCTTGTCTCAGGATTGACCATTCCACGTTTCATGATTCTGTGGAAGAAATCATTCACCTTCTCGCCTTTCGATGCTGAAGGACTCGTCTTGAGGCGTTTGACCCATAAGCTGCAAGGTTCAGGGTCTGACAGTACACGCTTTCCCTGTTTCGGTAACTCGGTGTTGGAAAGAAAGTGTTCCACTTTCATGGTTTGAGTCTCCGAGGTGCTTGTCTCTCGTCCATGGCTACACACTGATTTCTCCCCATTTGGAATCACAGGTGGTTCTTGGTTCATGTCAGGTATTTCGACCCGTGGAACTGGCGATTGCATTTTTCTTCCTTGACCCTGCAAAATTCTCGAGACCAGACAGGTTAAAGCTCCGGACTTTGTTATCCGTGGAAGAGACAGTGTATGAGAATATACAAGATAAAGCCACTCCATTAACAGAATTCGATATATGCTTGCGGGTATTTGGCTTCATCAATCCCGTGGAATATAGAAATTCTAGCCTTACGAATAAGAGAGACTTGCAAAGAGAACACTACCTTTGGGGACAATGGAGAAGTGGAGCCTGCCAAGAAGAAGGAAAACCAGTTTACGATGACTCGGTAGTGAATCAAGAAACGAAAGACTGTAACTGTGTAGCTTAAGAGTTAAGAATTCAATCTACATTCTTAGTATTTACCAGAAAGGCGAATCCTTTGGAAATTATCCATCTCCAAGGTACCAGTCTCAGCCAATGATGATCCCTTTCTTGCACAAACTGCAGAACTTTTAACTTCGCCAATTCTTTTCGACCCTTCTTCACAGTCTTTCGAGCTTTTCAGAGATTTCAACCCCACTCCTCGATGGTGGAGATCAAGATTAGGAAATATATCAAGAAACCCACCAAACATTTTCCTTTTCAGTTTCATGGAAACTCTCGAATCTCTTAACAGTTGACCGTCTTCTTCTGACAAATTAAGACCAGTCCTCTTAGTAAGGAGGATGTGTCGGGTACTGGTTGCCTGAGACAAACTATAAGGCTCTCTGGAAATTCCGTCAACCGAATCAACTGCCGTGTAAATTTTCATTGGACTGATCAAGTCGAGTGGGTTTCGTGTACTCTTCACTTGCCCGGGAATGTGAGGACTGTGATTTGAACTGAATACTTCTTTCTGCTCAAAGCTCGGTTCCAGTAAAGCGTTTCTCCGTTGTGGATGAACCCAGGACGCCCTTCTGAAGGGCATAGCCTTAGAGCTCGAGCCCTCACCTTCATGGAAAGACACTGTAGTCTCCTTTCTCAGAAAAGTTTGAAACCCAGTCCACATTGTGCTTTGTACAATCCTTGTAGCTTCATTGCCATGTTCTCTTCCAAGATTCTCTTCAGCTTCAACAACTACAATTTCAGGACCAATCACTGAGGATTCCTTAGAACATTTGCCATCTTCCTTGAGGGATAAACGATTCTCACTCGGTTTGGGCGCCTCAACACCAGGCTTGGTCCAACGAGCCAACCAGGAGGATTCATAAGCATGGACAGCATTCTTGCCCGTTCCAATGTTATCCTTATCCAAACCCATAACCTGTTCAGACATTGTACCTTCACTACAGACCTTCTTGTCTGGAACCAGAATAGCTTTCTACATAGTCCTAATCAGTACATGGCCTGTGAATCAACAGAGAAACAACAATTCAAGCATGAAAAATGGGATCTTTCACATATTTTTTCAGCTCTATCGCATTAAATGTAAAACCCATAAAGTATTTCATCCAAAAATCACGACAAAATCAAATCAAGGGCTTAGTAGAACACCGAAAAAGGCGAAAATTTTCCAGAGTTCATGTTCTTCGATTCCAATACAGCCAAACCCTTCAGGAATCGAGCAAATCGGAGACGTTTAGATCAAAATTTCATCATGAAAAACATTAATCTATAACAGTGTCACTAATTAGTAACTCCATCAATCGCTTAACGAATTCAAATCTTGGTGCAAAGAATGAAAAAAGCCCAGAACTTTGCTAAACGCAAAATACAAAACCCAGAAGAAACAGATTATAAGATAATACCACAAGCCGCATCATTTTATGTAAATATAGCGAAAAGTACAGAGATTTATACCCACCGATGCAAGAAGAAACAGGTTATAAGATCATAAAAGACTCACTCTTCACACAAACTCAGAATAACGAAGAAGCCCGACGGCGAGAAAAGTGAACACAACCGACAGAGAGAGAGAGAGAGGGAGGGAGAGATCAATGGCGGATACGTGGAAGGAGAGAGTCCGATGAAAGAGAGTGATAAGACGAGACGAGGTTTGCTTTTCACCAAAAAAAAAGGAAATGCTTCAGAGAAAAGATCGTGTCTTTGTAAGAATATACAACTCAAATATCTCCAAAGCTGAAACTATAACCTCGTATTCAATTTCTCGATCATCGAATTATTGAATATTTAAAATACGTATATATCTTTATGATGAAAAATACATTTAATATTGTTTTCATTTGACGTGTCGAGTGTTGGGGGGAAAAGACAAATTGGACGTGTCCCACTATGTGCCATATTTTCTTCTTCGTTATGCGTTTATGGCTCACGTCTTCTCTCTCGTCTTGCACTTTCACTTTGATCATATCTCTTCACAAATGCCACAAAATTATCGAAAAAATTAAGTGGTTAATATCCGAATATTCACTGCATAATCATAAATATACAAATATAAACGTTTTCAATTTTTATTAGAATTTTATTTTCAAACTATATAATTGATTTAAATTATAGAATATACTTTTATTACAACATAATTTATATTAAAAAGGTTCGTAATTTGAGTCAAAGACATTTTTTTTTAATTTATGTTCTTTATTAATAATGTACAAAAATTGGTATTTGAGATATGATATTATAAATGATCTGCAAATTTTCAATTTTGTATAGTCTCTATTTGACATGATATTATAAATTCTTCTAATATTTTTTTTTCCTATTTTGTTGTCAATTACTACACTCTGTTTCATTGGAAATGTAATTTACAATTGGACCGCCTAGGCAGTAGGCATATTAAAAAAAATACAAATATAAAAAAAGGAAATCGAAAAAAAGAATCACGTGACGTGGTCTTGTCTGTGCCTTGATCCGAGGAACCCTAAGGGACCTGCTTTGCTTGTGTTCCTTTAATAATGTAATCGGAGCCTCCTTTTTTGGATCTCCCCCTCATCATTCATCACCGATGTGTGTGTTTTCCCCCTTATTTAAAAGTTGTTCTTAGTGGCATCTAACGAATTAAATTCTATTATGTTGTGTATATTTATTTATTAATTTGATGTTTTCTTGTATCAAAAAATTGAGTAGGTCGATTTTCAACGTAAGATTCGAATTATTTTTTGTATGGCAGTCTACATTAGCATATATATACACACACATAATAATAATAATACTTATTATAATCATTTTAAAATTTTAGATTGATCATAATATATATATATATATATTATACTTTCAAAATTATTGAATTCCTTATATGAATCAGTATCTAGATTATCTGTCAGCATGTTTAAAATAAATACAAAGACATATTTAAATTAAGTAGATAACAATTAAATAAATAAAATTATCCAACAGATCGTGGGCGATTGATAAGTTTGGGGTAGGAGGTAACTCCACTTTGAGGTTGAGTGTTCGATTCCTAACTGGTGGAGAGTGAGATAATTTTTGAATTTATATGATCTATATACAAAGACTTCTTCCGGATCGGAGGTTTATCTAGTTAGCGTATCCGAAGGATAGCAGGGAGTCCTATAGCGTAGGAAGCAGCCCTTTCGATGTAGAGAACCCGGCCCAACGCGACCCATTGGGTCAGAGAGTTTTAAGGGTTGGGCTCCACATGTTTTGATGGGTTTGATTTCTTCTTTATTCGTTTAATACATTGATCCATGAAATATTATTAGAGGCGAGAAATAAACCTTCAACTTGATTTGCTTATTTTCATTTTTTTTTAGAAAAATAATATATGTTTCATTAACATATTTATTCGCTTATATTCAGTTCTTGTTCGGGATTAGATTTTATCGGTTCATTTTCTAAAGAAATTACAAATTCTAGTTCAGTTTTTTTCTGATTATTCTGAATTTGAATTATTTTAATGTATATTAATTTTGTATCGAATTAGATATGTATATTTGGTTTTGAGTAAAAGGGAAGTACTCGATTAAACCATTGGTTTGTTTCAAGTAAACCGTAACCGCACGTGTATATTTCACGCCCGACATGTAGGATGTCATGTTTGATTTATAAAACTAGGTGATTTAATAAACAAAAACCAAAACTTAAATCCATATTACAACAATTATTCCCCATTTTGATTTATAAAATATACTGATATCACTTCAAAGATGAATACAATAATTTTTTTCTAAAGATAAATTCAATTAATGAGGGATTACACCAAAATTTAAGAGATTTAAGTGTTTTTTCCCCTCTCCTATATATGAAATCTTATCAATGGATCAAGGTTTTAAAATAAAATATTAAACTTTTGGGGTCAAAGTAGAATAATCAAATAAATATAGTGATCTGTTTGGAATAAATTCCCAAATATATCACTCATCCCTCATTTCTTCTTCCTCCGTCGGTTCTCACATCAGATCGATCTGCTCGCCTTCGTACTCCAATTCGCGCCATCTCCATAGCTTCACGAAACGCTAGGTCTTCTCAGGTCAGCTTCTCGTCTTCCTGAGCCGGTTAACCCTAATATCGTGTTTTTATCTTGTTTATTCTCGACGCTTCGTTTTCCGTTTTGGCTGGACTCACCCTCACGCTTCCTCGTGATTTGATCCATCGATTTTCGTTTTCTGTGCTGGTCATTTAGTTACTGTCTTAGTCTGTGTCGGCTATGGCATCTTTGAGCTACGTTTGTTTAGTTTTTTTTTTGCTATCCCTACATTGAGTTTCCTGGGATTTATGATTGCTATGTGAAATTTAGGGTTCTCATGCATTGGGTATAGTTTATCTCTTGTTTGCATGTTTCTTAGCCCTGATTTTTCTTCTTGGTTTCCAAAAAAGAGGAAGCAGGGAGTAAAATTTCGAATCTGCTCATGAAGAAGTTTGCGGTAGACCGTTCTAGTACGCAAGATGCTGAACACAATGCTAATGGTTCTCATGGAGAGTGTATGAATGTCGTGTTAGCTTACTTCTGGTGAATCACAAATAATGGTTTGTTTTAGCTACACGTTTAATCGGTCTATGAATATTGGAAATTATCATGTGGCCGTGATTACTAACTTGCCATTGTAAGTGGATGAACTATTAAAGCTAGATTGGTTTTAGTGCCTACCAGTGAAATTTGATGGTTCATTGAATTGACTTGGCCATCTTCTTGAATTTTTTGGTTTCTCGATAGCATAGGAGATGGAGGGAGTTGGAGGCGAAGCTGCTTCTATGGCATCACCTGTGCAACAGCAGGCGCATGAGGCATGGAGGTTGTATCAGTATTACTTAGACAAAACTACTCCTTACGCAGTCTACAGGTGGATCGGGACTCTTGTGATAGCGGCCATTTACTGTTTGAGGGTTTACTATGTTCAAGGGTTCTACATTATTTCCTATGCGCTGGGAATCTATATTCTCAATCTGCTGATTGGATTTTTATCGCCACTTGTTGATCCCGAGCTTGAACCTTCGGATGGTCCCTTGCTGCCAACAAAAGGCTCAGATGACTTCAAGCCGTTTATCCGTCGCCTTCCAGAGTTCAAGTTCTGGTAATTTTTTGACCCGTGATCCATATGTATGCTATATCTATTGGACTGTTATAGTCATATGTTATGCGTGAGTCGTATTTGCATTGACTGGACTGCTATTGAGCCATTCTGGTTTCTGCTGTTCCATGCTTGCCGTAGATTGATTTCCAGTTAGAATACCAAGACTGGTAAGAATGATTCATAAACGGCATGATAAGTGATACGCCTGAGAACTGGTTTAGTGCAGAGAGTTAGGTGTTTGCCTTAACTGTTATTACATCGTAGAAGGAATCCCGAAGCAATATCAGCTTGTTCTTGTCCTTAGGAAAAGTATCTGATCCTTCAGGTGTATATATGATGTGTGATTACATATCCTTAGCAACTACATGTGCCTGACTGTCTGTGATGAACAACTCTGATGACAGGTACTCCATGACCAAAGCATTCTGCATAGCATTTGTCATGACATTCTTCTCCTTCTTCGACGTCCCAGTCTTCTGGCCTATTCTACTCTGCTACTGGATCGTTCTGTTCGTTCTGACAATGAGGCGTCAAATCACTCACATGATCAAATACAAATACATCCCATTCAGCTTAGGAAAACAAGTAAGTCTCACCTACCCGTATAATCTGTTTGCATCACAATTCTATATATTTCTCTATCGATCTTAAATCCTTGTCGTTGTCAAACAGAAATATGGAGGTAAAAAGTCCTCAGGAAGTGGCCGCAGCAGCGGTAGCCGTGCAGACTAAAGCATATATGCAGCAGTATTGACGGTACATGGATTCATCTGTATTCCTTATCCCTTTAAACATGTACCCTCGGAACAGATTTGTGGTCAGTTGTGGGAGAAATGATATTAGAATAGATCTATGGGACCGAAATGTCATAGAGATACTACACAAAGCCATTCCATTTATTTTCCCTTGGATGTAAGCATCTTATCGCTTAACAAGTCCCATGTTCTCAGAGGTGATACAGTTCAATTCGATAAAACATTATGGTTAACATGAGCAGGTATTATATCAAAGAGATTGATATTGCAGGTCCGCAGCTCTGTATTACAGAAGAGAGTCTAGAAACTCGGAAACAGTTGTGTATCTGACGCTAGGGTAAAGCTCCGTACCATTCACTCCGCCTGAAGACTCGATGTCGAAGTAGGTGTGATCTCCTTTGACAAAGACCGAATATATGAACACGTGATCCATGTTTTCCGGATATGGCGTTCCTGCATTAGGGGGAAACAAAGATTTGTGAGTTCATTTCTTTCTGGCAAATCTGACAGTTTGAAAGTGTGTTAAAATGTTATATAAGGAGACCTTTGATAATCGCCAGAAGTTTGTCTTCAGGAACATAAGTCTTGTTTAACTTCTTCCCGATCTTGTGCTCCCACAAGTCGACGAGGTTGTGGAGGGAGCAAACGTTTCCGGGCGGTCTGAGGTACAGTGTTTTGTTCAGTGTCCGAGGATCGTCGATCGTGCTTATTGTAAATGCCGCTACATCAACGTCCTTCACGAAAATTCCTAATCCGAAAGAGCCAACATGAAAAAAAAAAGATTCAATATACATATAAAGAGGGCATGTTGAGGAAAAGTTCAGTGCGAGCAAATTGGGCTGGACATGGGTACTGGAACCCGCGGAGCTTAAGGGTATCTGTCTCATGGGTATCCAATATTCGGAATCCAAGTCGCTGCAAATACGAGATTGGGTCCTTAACAGGTGAAAACCTGAACTGCAGGTTCGAACTCAAGTTTTGTTAACCAATTACCCGTATCCCGAGGGGGAGAGAGGAGTGAGTCGGCGAGAGCGCAATTTCTAGAGGCGAGAGGGCGAAGAGTGATTAAGAGCGGCGAGGGGAAGACTCAAGGCTCTTTCTATATTTGAGTATTTTTTTCTCAAATCAGAAATTGGGGATTCGTTCGACTCCCCAGGCTTTGAAAGACGAGGGCAATTTCGCTGCCTTGCTGCGCTTAGGCTTTGTCGCGTCTCGCTCAAACCAGGTATGTTTCCGCCCCTTCGCCTCGCTGACCGCTCTTGCCTCAACCCTTTCGGCCTTTTGTCACTGGCTGGATACCCAAAGCCCGGCTACCCAGTCCTCGCGAGGCCGAGATTGGTACATCGAACGAGATATCTAAGGGGGCTAAAGCCAAGGTTGGGTACGCGGAAAAAATCAGGTACCCGGCCCACACCCACCCATACAAGCAAAGTGGTGCAAACCTGTTGTGTTTCCGTCTCCGAAAATTGTGACTTTATCAGTAGGAGGAGAGTCGAGGCCTGGTTGAACCAGCGAAGGAAGTAGGATCCTCATGAAGAATCCGCAGCAAATATAGGTATGAGGAATGCCCTTTGATTCTATCAGCCGCCTGATCTCAGCTTTTTTAGCATAGAAACCGTTGTCCAAACCCGATATCTGGATCTTATCTGCGTCGGCCCCAAATTCCGATGGAACAAACCTCTGCAACAACCACAAAAAACACTCCCAAATATGATATATGTACGCATTCCCTCAAACACAAAGACCAGGCCAAACCCAAATGAAATTTCACACAAGGATCGAGCCAAAAACCCGGTAACTTTTTCTGAGGCTCAAAACAAATTTCGGATGAGTTACGCATTTTGCTTATAACCCTTTCAAGGAGATGGCTTTGCAGTACAAAGCCTCGGGAAATGGAACGGGGTGAAGTTTGAATTGCAGCAGAGAAGAAATTGAAATGACCTTGATGGAAGCAGCTTGTTCGATGACTTTGATGAGGAGCTTCTGCTGAAGAACATGTTTTGATGGGATTGCACATATCACCACATCCACCTTCTTCACCGCTTCTTCCAAACTTGCCTCATCCTCCAATGAACCCTTCCCCAACCCCAAATCCCCAAAATAAAAACAGAGAGAGGAGAAAAAAACGTCATTCTCGAATTAACCTGGAAAAAAAAAGGCTAGAACGAGCACAGGCGCAAAAAAAAATCTCAACTTTGCAATGAAAATTGAGCAAAACCCCAAAAACAAAAAACCCAGTTCGATCTTAGTATTGACTCTTCAGAAAAACACAGTAGAATCTCGAACAAAACCATAAAACCTAAGTGTACACTGTCCTCTACAAACCCAATTGCTAAACACTTTATCTACTTAGTAATTACAGAGGGAGAGAGAGACCTTGAGGAGAGTGGCACCAGCATCGGAGAGAGAACGGATCTTCGCCGAATTGGAGAGATCGGAGAAAGTGGAATCTCTGATTAGGGCAAATGTCGGGTGACCCGATTCGACGCTGAATCGGATCAAACATTGTCCCAATCTTCCAGTTGCTCCGATCACCAGCACTCTGCTCTTCTTCTTCTGATTCTCCTCCATTTTTCACCTTCTTTTTTCCTTGCGATCTCTCACCACGGGACATTACTTCAAAACGACGCCCTGATTTGAAAAAAAAAAAAACAAACCGATGAAAACCGGTCGGTTTTCTTCTCGGTTTAGTATTTTGGTTTTTCGAACTTAAAAAGATTTATCGTTTGTAAAGGAAATCTGATTTGGTTCGATCGATATCTTTGTACAGAGCTGGTTTTATTTATTAATAGATAAATTGTTTATAGTAAATGAAATTTGCAAATTTTCGCCCCTTTTTTAATCCAAAATCCTAAAATTCAGTGGATTCCGCAAAAAAAAAAAAGTTTATTAGACTAAACAAATCAATAAATTATGTAATTGGTAAGTAATTAAGTTGTACATTTTGTTTCGATATTTTTACAAACTAACAGCGTGAGTCCAACACTGTGTAAATACGTGTTGTCATCAATGGGTGCATTGGCTCAATGAAAAAGGAAACGTTGAAATGGATAATATTTTTGGTAACACACTCTAATGATTCTCATTCATATAAAAGAGCAGGGAAACTCTATATTACATTTATTTATTTATTTATTTATTAAAAAGACAAAAACTATTTGCCTTTTCTCTCGTTACTTTAAGTACTTAATGAAAATGGAAACCCATTTAGCGATCTCTAACTTCTCAAAACATGAAACCTTGTCTTGATTACTCACTTCTTCTCCATGTTCGAGTTGCCTTGTTCTCTGCATAATTAACCTGCATAACCTGAATCCTAAGTCACTGATTATCTATATATATATATATATTCCAAAATATTATAATATATGGTTGTTATTACCTTCATGGTCCGTCTCTTTCTATGAAACCGAACAAGAAACTTTATATTTTATAGCTGTGCACCAGATGAATAATCAAAATACGATAAATACGGATACATACATGTGGATGGTTGGGCAGCAAGTTCGTGTCTCATAAAGATTCCGCACATCGGATTCAGACGCCCAAAGAGTTCGACCACTCTGCACAAGAATCAATTCAAAAACACACACACACAAATCGTTACGTTAAGATTCAAATATCGGTACACGCTGAGGAGGAATGAATGAATAACAATGATAACGAAACGAAGACAAAAATTTCTTACGTTCGTTGAAAGGTGGGCCGGGCATCCACGACAGATTGTCCGTAGTTCCGGCAACTTGGGAGCTGGAAATGAACTCCGTCCCAGTTCCTGGAACTGCTTGCTGGATTGGATTCAGGTGATCGTAACCGGAGTTAACTACCTCAGAAGTTGGCATCGTCATGCATGGGTTGTTCTGTCTCAGCTCGGTTAAAGCCTGGTTTCAATGTCGGAACGAAGCTTCTATATCATAAGCTCATGCATGCACGTAATCTGACACGGTTTATAAAATCTATCTATCTATACTCCCGACGTATACGAGTATAAATACAAACTTTGGCATCAAGATGTATTTTTTTTTTTACCTCGTCGGCCAAAAAGTCATCAACACTGTAGTCTGGATTCGGATTCAACTCGGCGATTTTCATGTTCAAGAACTGTGTTTTCACAGAGATTAGATGTTAGAAACCGGATATGATATTGAGAAAGGCGAAATACTTTGAACACAGAGAATATATATATACTCAGAGAAACAGAGATTCATTCCTGATGTTCAGACCTGGACTTGTTGCTGAAGCGACAGAACATAGCTTATGATCTGCTCAATAGCCTCTGCGTTCCCAAGGGTTTTGTCCAGTCCAGGGACCAAAGATTCAAGATATCTCGTCCTCTCTCTAATCTTCTCTCTTTTAACCTACACCAAAAAAAAACCCACCAATAGAAAACCATGATTTCACGGTCTCAGAACAAAAAGCTCGACACTTTGACTAACTAAATAGAAAAAAAAAATCAAGCCTTTTGGTGTTCTTACTCTCTCTGCTATGCTGTGGATGTCAGTCGCTCGTCCTGGTCGTGCTCGAACATGAACACAACCTTTCGAATCTTCCTCGTACTTGCTGACAACTTTTCGATTCGCGGTGTATGCTTCTGCACTCACTTTCTTCTTCATCTTCTTTTTATCCTTAGGATTTTCCTTCGCTTTACCCTAATCAAACCAAGGTTCCTACAGATTAGTACGTAGAACGGAAAAAGAGTATACGAAACTGAGTCTGTGAAAGTACATATGAAAACAGAGTGTTCTTGCCTGTGTGACCATTTGTTCTGTCGAGTTATCAGGTTTCCTCTTCTTCTCCAGCCCGATTCCGGAGCTACCGAGTCCAGAACTTGGCCTCGCGGTTCTCAGACACGGGTCGGGCTCGAGCGACCCGGCCGTCGTCACCGACCAACAGTTGGCGGCGCTGACGTTGATGACGCCTGAGATGTCGCCGCCCAGGGCGGAGTTGGTGACCGGTTGGTAAGGGAAGGAACGGGAGAGATTCCCGGTGAGCCCGTGATGGTAAATGGTCGGGTGGTTGGGCAGCGGTTCCTGGTGGTTTGTGGTACAAACGATTTGGCGCCGGAAGAGC